CCCGGTAGGAATTAATGTTTTTGTAAGCAAAAACAATGTGGATTGTAAAGCCTTTTTTCCTATTAGGAATTAATGTTTTTGTAAGCAGAAACATTTTTTTTCTATTAGGAACTGAAGTTATGTGTTTTGTATTGCAATGGTTTTTTGGTAAACAAAAACAATATCGATTGTATTCTCAATGGTGAAATTGATGGCAGTCTCTCCCAAATAACCAGCCCGTCTAGCTCAGTAGGTAGAGCGCAAGGCTCTTAACCTTGTGGTCGTGGGTTCGAGCCCCACGGTGGGCGTTTTTTGCCCCGGTAGGAATTATTATTTTTATAAGCAAAAACAATGTGGATTGTAAAGCCTTTTTTCCTATTAGGAATTAATGCTTTTGTAAGCAAAAACAATTTTTTTCTATTAGGAACTGAAGTTATGTTTTTGGTATTGCAATGGTTTGGTAAACAAAAACAATATCGATTGTATTCTCGATGGTGAGATTGATGGCAGTCTCTCCCAAATAATCACGAGGGTGTTGGGCAGTTAATTAGAGACTGGTGGTGAGCAGGGAGGGGATTCATATCTCTTGATTGGTGAAGAAGGCGACCTTCTTAAACGCCAGCATTGCAGGGGAAGACTTAATGGCAAAGCACAGTGAGAATGATCTTATGTGCGAGTCTCGTCCCTCTGGGATTGGGTGATTTGGAGAGAGTGCACCTCAAGAAGTTAATGCGGCAGAATTCGTCATCAAGGAGGACAGAACTGTTGTTTCGAGTTAAGGTTCAAAGAGGGTGTTGGGATGCTTTAAATTCGAGCTTTATTTGGGTCAGCCACCCAACAAGTGAGTTGAAGTAATGGAGTGCATTCTCATTTATTCTCCTCACCTGTATTCCTCCTCTCGTCATTCATGTCACCTCCTCTACTTGAATTGCCCCCCCTCTCTCATCCCCCAGACCGACCCCAAGAGAGTGGTGAAGAGAAGACAGATATGTACACAAGAATGTCCTTTTATCGCTTTCTCCATTAGATCCTTGCTTGCTCGGTGGAGCCTACACACAGGCACTATATACCGAGGGAGGTAGATTAAGATGGTTGCGATGTAACTCGATCAAAAGCCATGGTCTCCTTGCAGAAGGAGCGTTTCTCTAAGAGAATGAGGTACCAAGACGGAAAGGAACATGATGGTTGCTGCCTCTCGAAGCCTGACACCGAGCTGTGTGTGGGTAATCCCCTTCCCTTGGAGTGGCAACAATGCCTCGACATCAGGGTGAGTACTTCTTATCGGCTTAATTCTCTCTGGACTTCAGCTGATATCTTGTTAGTGCAGTCCGGCGAGATGTACTTCTACAACACGAAGACCCGCAAGAGAACCTTCCGAGACCCGAGGCTGATCCCCACGCCACCGCGTCCATGCCTCAGCCTCGACCTCAAGCTCAAGATTGACCCTGCTGTGACCGACGACGACGAGTTCCGGTGCAACCCCAGAAGCTCTCGTGGCAGCGCGTCGCGTTCCCTGCCATGGATATCGCTCGACGCGGACCGACGAGAGATGGTGGCGACCGTGTGCATGCGCTGCCATATGCTGGTCATGATGTGCAAAGCCGCCTTGTCCTGCCCCAACTGCAAGTTTGTGCACCCTCCCTACCCTTCGCTCCGCCATGTCAACGAAGCCACCAGTCGAGCTTAGCTTTGTGCTGTCTGTTGAATGAAAGATCACTCACCTCCCCCTTTCTGACGGTGGTAGGGATGCAAACAAGATAAATGTATTATGCACGCGGAGGTAATCTTTGTCTCACTGTTGCAGTACAGTGGTTATCATTCGTAGAAGATGTTGTTGCCTGATCGTAGAGTCATCACAGTTTGGTTTGGTTCCGAAGGTACAAGCCCAAATCTCCGGTAGGGCTGAGGGGTTATGAGAGGAGATTAGAGTAAAAAATGGATTTGATTGGCACGATTTTAAGGCATTGCTTATTCGTTAGAGGCGAATTTGGTATTGTCTCGAGATGCATGCTATTTTCGTCGAGATCCTTACAGAAGCAATCGGTGTCGGAGGATATTTCCTACTTGATCCCTTCGATGGTAAAATTAGTTGGGAGGTGATAGTAGCGTAGATACTTACCCCTTTAGGTTTTAGGACTGGTTTTTATATGTGGCTGGTCAAGGAATCCCTCGCATCGTCCAAGGGCTCATTTATATCGATGGCTAGTGAGCATATCTCTTTGAGGGTGGAGGGAAGGATGACTATGAGAGTATCATTTGTCAAGGCTAGAGCATGTTTGGGTTAAACTGGGGATGATCGCTCGTGTCAAAACATCCAAAAAGAGGGAAAAGAAAAACTAAGTTATGCTATCTGGGATTAATACTCTTTGTAACTGGATATGTGAGCCTTTCCGAAATTATGATTAATAATGGGCAATGAGTTGCTTGCGATGAGTGACCCATAAAAGGGATAGGCATCGTTGCTATCGAGGATTAATGAAATTTGTTATTAGCTCATGCGATCCTTTTGAAAATCGAGGTGAGTAATTATCGAAGGATTGTGCTCTTGTCGATGGTCACAGGGAAGGGACATAGGTTCTTCCTCCCGCATCTATCGTCTAAGTGACAATTCTTTGATAGAGTCAATCGATAGGGTAATACTTATGTCAGTTACTTTCTCTATCGGTACCTATCAGCTTCAACAGCTTCCTTGCATTATGAGCTGTGAAATCCACAATAATGTAGGGACAGATTATTGTCTTGAATTTAATAGGAGATGTAAACAGGTGCCGGCATTGTTTAATTCAGACAAAGCACACTCCATATCAGTTTAGGTAAAGTAGAACAATCCATTTGATGCGTTGGTCGTTATCACTGCTGAAATAATGGCTTGATGGTGAGATGTTGCCAAGTCGACTTGTTTCCTTCTCTTCATCTTAATTGCATGATGGCAGTTGATTTACGATTACGTTGACCCAAAAAAAAAAATTTAAGGTACTAATACTATTGGAGAATAAAACAGAGATCAAGTATAAGTATAATTCTTTTTTAAATAATAATAATAATAATAAGGTACTAATACTATTAGCCCCCATCAAATTAAATAAAAAAGAAAATTCGAGATATATATATATATATATATATATATATATATATATATATATATATATATATATATATATATATATATATATATATATAACTTCTAAAAAGAAACTTACAAGATCTTGAATTATTATTGGATTTAAGTTGACATCATATGAAAGTAATGGTGTAATATATATCGTTGATTCAAAATATAATCATTATGTCAATGGTGATGATACCAAATTTATCAATCTTCATCGTCGATATGAAAATAATGCTGTAATTATCACGAAGGTATAATTATTCGTCAAATAAAAAAAAACTTATAAGATCTTGATATAATATTATTCATCAAATAAAAAAAGAAGATATAATTATAATCTTGATCTTATTATGTATATCATGTTTTATATATATGAAAAAAAATCCCTTCTTTGTTGCAAATTTAATTGATGTCAGAAATTATGTTTTCTTGATCCTAATAAAGTTAAGTTTCTTCATAATATAAAAAAATTAAATGCATCAAAGATTTATATATTTTATCAGCATCAATCTCTTATGTTGATAAGATGAATACAAATTATGATGCATCAATCTAACATGTTATACTTCGTCATATAAATTTTCTTAAATTAAAGATTACGATGCAAAAGAGTCTAATCAATGATCTTCTCAATATTAATACTTTTAGTAATAATGAAATTTATGAAGGTTATCGACATGGTAAAGTACACAATCAATCTAATGGGCCCTGCTCAAATTCTATCTTATTTAGGTTGCTTCTCTTTATTGATAATTTTAAAATATTTACTTGGTTCTCTTTTGTGAAGAAAAAATCAAAAGTTTTTTTAAAATTTCAAGAGTTCAAGTTAATAGTTGAAAGTGTTCTTAAAAGAAAAATTAAAAGGTTATACACCAATAATGGCGAAGAGTTCTGATAAATTCTTCTCCTTTTGTAAAAAAGCGTAATATCAAAAGAAAACTTTCATGTGTAAATATATCACAACAAAATGACATGATAGAATAAAAAAACATATTATAGAGAGTTATAAGTGTTGAATTCATACAAAGAATTTACCCACATATGAGCAGAAAATATGACTTTGTGTAACTTATGTTATTAATCGAATTCCTCTTAGTCTAATTAATCTAAAGTCATAAATATTAAATATTTAAGAATATTTGGTTCTGTGTGCTATATTTACATAGACTTAAAAAAAAAGCAAACTTGATACTAAGACCAATAAATATATTTTTATTGGCCATAAAGGGAAGAAGAAGTTGAAAATGCATAGATTCATAAATATGTAAGTATTTGGTATTTCAAGATATTATGTTTGATAAAGTTTCTTCTTATTATCCTCCATAATTAGTTTCTTTTAAAAATATCAATAATAATAAATGAAAATGATATATGTTCAAAACGTATGGTTGAGTTTTTATTGTCATTTAATGCTTCTATGGATTTTGATACATATTCTTTCTCGATAGAGCAAAATGATAGTGAGAACAACATAATTTTTAATTTGAAAAAATTTATATGGCCTAGTGTGTCAAATTGATGCACTTTCATTTGTACTCATCCTATCAACATAAGAGGTTAATATTGACAAAATATATAATTGTTTGATCCTTTTACCAACATATACTATATTTATATTTAATTCTTTTTTATTACGAAGAAACTTGACTTCACGAGGATAAAAAGAATATAATTTCTAACATCAACTGTATTTGCAATAGAGGAGATTTTTCTAGATACTTGGAATATGGTACACACTTTTCAACATAATATGATCATTATCTTTGTTTAAGATTATGATTGTACTTTTTTTTCTCCACTTGGTAAACAATATTGTCGTGATGCTTGCATCATTACTTTCATATTGATGAAGATCGGTAAATTTAGTACCATCACTAGTAAAATAATAATTGCATCCTGAATCAATTATCCAATCATATTCAAAGTTGATAAATGTCATGATCTTAGTAGTTTCAGCCATAAAATATTTGCCATAAATCTTCATCAATAGCATTGGAATAATCTTTTTTATTTATAATATTTTCTCCTTTAATCTTAATACAATAATTTTAGCCTAACTTGTTACACTTATAATACTTAATTTTCTTTCAATTTATATCATTGTTCGAAGAAGACTTTGACTTGTTTTTAGTATTTTCCCATTCTTTTTATTATCTTGATCATCTCTCTTTCTTACAAATGATATCAATGATATCTTTATCTTCTGTAAAGTAGAAATTCTCGTAGCTAGTGATTCCTGAGAAGTAAAAACAAGATTTTTGAACTTTATTAGGGATGATTGTCGAACCCATTCTCGAATGGATGTAACATAAGAAATATATTCTTTTCAAATATCATGAATAATATAATATTTATTCATGCATCATAAACAAATCCATGAGTGATATTTTTAAACATAAATTTTTAATCTTCCAAACATATTAAGAAATTAAAAAATCATCTTGGATAATATTTGTCAAATCATTCTATAACTACTGCAGTCGAATCATATTTGTTTTATTGAGCCATGTATTGATCCAAATCTGTAAACGTAATTTGTAATTTGTAATTTTTAAAGATATTGAGAGAAATAGATCTCTTTAATATAAATTCAAACTCTTGCATTTAATATCTTCTATCTCTCCATTGAATCTCCATCTGTATTATCACGAATTAGATCTTTCCCTATAAGATAAGTCTCCAAACTAAGTTTTGTAAATTTTATAGTTAGATTGATTAAAAAGTTCAATACTAAACTTGCCAATTTGACTGTTATAATCAATAATCGAAAAAAAATTATCTTCTTCACTAAGAAAATATGGAAATACATATTATCTTGATACAATGTGAATAAAGAGAGAGATCACATATAAGTATAATTTTTAAATAATAATAAAAAATTATTACTAGCTCAAGATCAAACCAAATAAAAGAAAAAAATCAACACTAAAGTAAAAAAGAAATATATTAAACTATGAAAAAAAAAACACTTACAAGACCTTAAACTATTCTTGGACTTGAGCTTTATAGATTTAAGCACTTAGACTTGACTAGATATACATATGTAGATATCATTTAAACTAAGAGATCATTATCTCTATAATTTTATCTAATCTTAAAAGGTAATATAAAAAATAATAATTTAAAAATCTTTAAAAGATATAATTTAAATTTTAACATCTATGTTTATAAAATTTGCCCATTAATGAGGCCCCTTTAATTCGTAACTAAAACAAGAAAATTAGAAAAATTAGAAAAAATGAAGTAAGCGCGGGAAAAAACTGACTATAAGTGGAGAGAGAGAGAGAGAGAGAGAAGGGAACGAACTCGAACCTCTTCCCTCTCTCAAGTCTTCGATCGCCGCCGTCCCGCGCCGTCTCCTAAAGATCGCCCCCGGGAGCTCTGCCGCGAGATCCGGAGGATCGCCTGGTGATTACCGAGTCCCCCCTTTTCCTTACCTCCTCGGTCGTTCTTATCTTCTTAGCTTCTGCCGGAATCGCACAGATGGTGGACCATGCGATGACATCGTGAGTCACGAGATCGAAAGCTGTATGAAATCTTGCGTCCGGTGAGATTCTTCACATCAATGAGAATGTTTTGATAACAAACCCTATGGATGAGCTTATTAAGGATGACTATTTGATAGATGTAATGTTCAGGTCAGGCTTCCGATCTTTTCCGCCAACCAAAACTGGAGGACGGGAGCTGCTAATCTTGTCTATGTTATCCCTGCATCTGGTACGTCCTACGTTTATCACATCCTTATAAGCGATTAGCAGTTTATTTACTGATTTTTTCGCCTTGCGAATTGTGTTTAGCATAAGGTAATTTGTGGTTTTAGGTTACTGCCTTCAATTTATGGTCATGTTCTGTTTTCTTTGCCGTAAGATTGCAGTTTTTCTGACCATTCTGGCAATGGTGTAGTTGATTGGTGATACATTTATCTTTTCCTCACAATATAGAAATTGCTTATGTTGTAAGGAATTCGAAGTGTGTTTGTAGAGGACTAGATTTAAGTATGATTTTATTAGTTCATTTTGATATTTCTTTCACATATTTTCTGAATTTTAAATGCTCAAAATCCAAAGTGAGGGATGCAGTTTGGGGAAGGGTGCTAAGGAATGTAGCTTAGTTTAGGGTTTCACCTGCACAATTGGTAAGTAACTTCATCATTTATTTTGAGATGAGTGAATTTTATCCGCATATTGAGGATGTTAGTCGGCTTAGTCAGTAAAGACTTCAATTTTTAATGTAGAGTTATGAGATCGAATCCCGTAATTATCACTAAAAAGTAAAATAAGGAACTGGATATAATATTTTGACTAAATGAGTGATGGAAACAAATGATTGAAGGCATATTTTAGAATTGGTCTTTGTTAGGAGGGGAATGAATCAAGGACTGAAAGAAGTCAAATTTCACAGTGCCAACTCAGACTGGATTAAGAAAAGTGTAAATTATACACGCTAAGTTTATGCTGTATATGCCATTGCTGATCTCTCAAGTCAAATGTTGACTTGGAAGGCACTCAAAGTTCTTAGTTAAGCATCTAAATGATAACAAATTGGATTATGATGTCCACCACTCAAATGAAATTGCTACTCCCGGTAGCGGCAAGTTGCATGACCCGAGAAACAAAGTGATTGTTGAGTCATTAGGCCACAGCAGAGAAACTGATCAAAATTCTTAAGCTGTTTCAAGATTTGGACTTAATTGCTGGCATTGTGGACAAGCATTTCATTTCCGTGCCAAATTGCACATTGCGGTCCATTTACATGAGGGACACATTGTGCCACATTGTTTACATTGCAATACAATGTAATCAGAGATGTGAGAAAGAGAGACAGAGGGAGGGGGGGGGGGGGGGGGGGTGCAATGCTGAACAATAAAAAAATGATTTAGGTGTTCATTTGGTTACCTAGTTACATTGGAATGACCATTAGTAAGAAGAAGAAATAGTGTGATGCCAACCAATGCAAATGCAGGAAGATTCGTTTGCTTGTTGTTTCAAAAGCCCATGTTAGAATACGGCACAAGGGACGTGACAAAATAATTAAGAACACTAACAACACTATTGAAAGAGACATAAATTGTATATCTCAATCTGATTCTTGCCGTCCGTCCACATTCATCTTATTTTCCTTTTCTTATAAAAGTTAACAATTAGTTTCTTCATTGCTTACTGTTATATGATGTAAGGTTGATGTAAGGTTAATGTAATTAAAGAAATAAATGATGATGCATCGAGTGAACAACCCATGTTGACTTGACTCTAATTACCTTGCTAAATGGACTCAGGGATTCAACTTGAGGAAACTAATCAAAGATCACCACTCAAGCCATAGTTCTTCAATTACTAATTAAATTTCAAGGCCATTTCATTTTTCGTATGCCATCACCATCGTGATAGATAAGCCATATTGTTTTGTGAAACCCTAATCTTAATTGTCACATCACCAAACCAAGTCAGAACATGAATCACATATCTAGAATTATTTATCAGATGGCCCATGTACCTTCTTCAATTGTTTGTTTTCTTCAGTATTGATTACCTTGGCCCTTCCTTTCAGGCAAAGACATTTCATCAGAACCTGTTCTGTATTTCTTCAACTATAAATGCAATTAAATAGTCCAGTAAATTGTACAATTAAGTTCGGGAACGAGATTTAGATCGAGAGTAGTTCCGAGGGATGCATGAAGAAGTCTCCTGATCCCACATCTATGGTGAATCACATGCATTCCTACAAGTTTTCTTATTATTCTATTTCTTTGATAAGTTGAAGGCCTTGTCCCATGCTTCCTACTTATATAGCACTTTAGATTGAGAATTAATTTAAAGGTACGGTCGCCACTTAGGTGAACCTGAAACATGTTTTAGATCTGCCATTCAAATAAGTCCCATATGGTACAACTTCAAGGATATATAATATGTATAAAATTGGTCTTTGGGTAGCCACCATATAACATGATGGTGTAGGTGGCGGAAACAAGACGATAATGTCTGCAGTCAAAGATCACTGGGTCCTCTCCCAGATTAATTGAAAGCTAAGTATGCATCACTTTACTTGTTTGTTAAATAGGAAAAAGATGGACACTAATTACTGGACCTCAGATGTGGAATGGCTGTGTGAGGGAGGGATCCATTAGGCACCCTCCTTGAATCGACGATGGCATCTCACAAATGGACAAGCAGACCTGCTGCCTCCTCTTGTTGGGAACGCTGAAATCTTAGCCTTTTCTATTTGGAAAGGCACAGGACGAACATAACAAGGACCGCGGCAATAAGTTTGGTATCGCACAAGGCTTTGGAATGAAGGGTAGGCAGAAGAAGACACAAGAAAAGACACATGGACACAAGGAAGGGATGGTGATTCGAGGAACGACCGGTGTTGTTGCACGTCAATGATCGGGATGGCGTTGCACCGAAAGAGACCACCACCCGTCCTCATGTTTTTTATTGTTTTTGATCGATTTCAAGAAATCAAATTATTTTCTACGTCTCTCATCTCTGCCTTTGCAGCTCCCTCGCTTCCAGCCAAATTAAACCAAGTATTTTGATGGAATCCGTCCGTGACCACCCCAATTAAAATGTGGTACGACGGCCGTAACGCGACTGCGATGCTGACAGGTGAAGGACCCACCCATATGACTCAGTGAGTTGTCATTTTTGACTCATTCGCTCCTGCGCCTCAATAGTTTGCCTGCCCGGAAGAATATTCGTGGAGTGGTAAGAATCTTCTTTTTTATGATTAACCCTTTATGTCACAAAGAATTTAAATCGAAGGTGGCTTGAGCGGATATTTATTTATTAGAAAAGTATATTCATATAACCGGGGAAGATTAGAGTCGTATCCTTGGATTGTATCGGGCCAAGTGGACTTGCGAAAGAAAGGGATCCGAGGTGATGCGGCTCGTTGCTGACCCAAAGGAACGGGTCGACGGGGGCCTCAAATCACTCTCATAATTCATGTGAGTGAGAGAGAGAGAGAGAGAGAGAGAGAGAGAGAGAGAGAGGCGTTAGCTTTCTGCGTCCCCAAATGAAGAGCCATGGCTGGCTAGTGTTTCGACTAGACAACCATACGTTTTGTCATGTTAAGCATATCGCTGCATGCAACTGTAAGGGTATACATGTAAAGAGATAACTGCCAATGGGTGCACTTGCAAGTAATTACATAGTTGTGGTTATCAAAGAAATGACCATCCTAAAAATAAGGTATATTGTGTGTTCCATCTAGAAAGGTTGGGATTCGATTCGGTGATAACCGCATGATAGGTCGCGATGTGCAACATTAAATAATAACTGAATGGAAATTATTTAACTCGGAGTTAGCAGGGAGGGCAGAGGGTGGCACTGACATCATTCATGAAACAGGTAAATTTTGGCCAGTCGAAGGGAAACGGATCTGTCCGCGTCTCAAGCGCGTTTGTGGCTCCTCTCGCAGCGCCCGCTGCTGCCGCCTATTTGTAGCCGCTTCTACCACTTTCCTTTCCTCCCCCACACCACCTCCTCTTCTTCTTCCACCCTTCCCTCCCTGCTCCAGATGCTCTTTCTCATCTCCTCTGCTTGCTTTGACATCCGGTACGTCAGGTCGGCACACCTCTGGGTGTTTGAAACAGGTACCTTCCCCTGATACCCTGCTGTGGTTTCTAACATTCTGTAAAACAGTTATCATTGTTTCTCGATTTCTGCTGCAAGCTCTTCCTTTGATTGTTCTATTACCTCTGTTGTCGTGGCTTCTATGTTTGCGAAGGTCGATCTAGGTTATGAATGCAATAATAGCTTTCTTCTTTGACTTGTTCTTCTTTTTATTGGGGCTGAAGTCTCCTTGGTTTAGAAAACAGGGACACCAGGGAGAACTTTTCAAAGCATTAGCCAAGAAAACCGGTGGTTTCTCCTCGCTTCTCTAAATGCTTCCTCAATTATTAGCTTTCGTATCTTCCACCCTTTTATTACATAATAAAATACATGTTTTCATTGGGTTTCTAAATGCTTCCTTACTTTCGGCCTTCGGATCTGGAAATCCCTGTTGATGCCAATGAGTTTCTTGTACTTTGATGATCCAGAATTTAGCAGAAGAACGTTTTTGGTCTTTTCTCCATCTGATTTGCAATAGAAGCGAACAAAAGGCGATCTTTTGATATGTTTGGCTTATAAAAGGGAGAAATGACTAATCCATCAGATCTCTCTTTCTTCCCTCTATTTCTGTTTATGGGTTTTTTGAGCTCTCCATGATTCTAAGATCTAACCTTTTTCAGGTCTGATACCAAAAGGGTTCTCAGCTGATATTAAAGCGGTTTAAGATCACTCTGGCCGTCACTGAGGTACCATCCTCTCGCACCTTGAGAAAGGTGTGTGCTCGAGAGGATGCACCCTTCCCTCTCTTCTCCATTCCCATCTACACTCTTCTGCTTGTCTGGCTGTTGTGTCGTATGGTAAAAGGATCTCCTTTCGACAATGGCTAACCCACAGATTCACTTCAGCTGAGATCACCTGCATCTACTTCTATAGTCCTTAATCTGCTAGGCTTCTTCTTGCTTCAGAAGCTCTTAGAGTCATAAAGAGAAGGTAGTCGTCACGCTTATCTAGAATATTGTGTTGTGTGTAAGTTCTTTGGTACCAGAAAAAATGGCAAGAATCAATTGCTTCTCTGCTCTCCTGGCTGGAAAGAAGAAGAAATCTAAGGTAACCACACATTCAAATCTGATTTTTGTCTAATTTGTGGTTCAATTTCGTGCTCATTTGACTGGTTACATGCAGGAGTCTCCAAAAGCCATCCATTCTAATAATGAAAATGGCGATGGAGATTTGCTAGTTAAGCCAGAAAAATTCATCTGTGCATCCGGCGAGACAAAGGAGGTGTCTTTCGAGGACTTGTCAGTAAAATCTCAGTCGAAGAAGAAAGCTTCTACCGATGTGAAATCGGTGGAGGATGCCAAGAAGGATGGGAATTCTGTTCCAACCAATGTGGCAATTGAAGCAGCTTATGAGGGAGGCGACGAGCATGACGACATCTTGTCGATGAAAAGGGATTTATCCGACTTCGATCTCCAGGCGCTAGCAGCAGAGAAAGGTGAAATCAATACCCATAATTTGAATCAAGAGTTTTGCAATTATGAGGTGGAGAATGAATCGGAGAAAGTTGAGGGCATCACACCCGAAGCAATGATCCGCAGTGGGCATGTAAGCGACCCAGGGATGGGCTGCACCACTGCCTTCTGGGGATCTCCCATGTTGAAGCGCTCGTGCTCTAACATCGAAACAAAGAGAGCTAGTAGATTGCTTGGATCCCCTGTCAAGTCCCATTCATATGATGATCTCCGAAACTTACCTGAAAATTTCCTGAGAGAAGCACCAAAGGCAATCCCAGGCAGCCCAGCATCAGTAATGACTTCCTTCAGTGCTGATAAAGTGATGCTAAAGAAGAGGTCTTCAAGCCAGGTTCTTCCTTCAAGAAGTAGGAAGCTTTGGTGGAAGCTTTTCCTGTGGAGCCACAGAAATCTCCACAGGACTTGGTCCTTGAAACCACAAAGGATTGCCTTCCTCAATCGTGCCTCCAATCAGAGAGACGGATACTGCTCTGACACGATGGAACCAAGCCGTGGAGAGGATTTGAAAAACAAGAAAGCCATGGATGAATCTGAGATTAGATGTAGGAACGGTATGTGGCCTCCGAACCAGTGGGTTGCTTTTTCTGCAGAATCTTCTTCTTTGGATAGAGTAAATGCTTGGGTGCACAGTCTGGATGATAATCCATTCTGCCCAATCGAGGATACTGAGAATGAAGATGATGAAGCAGTAGATGGGTCTTCTACGCACCCAACCTTTCTGGAGATTAAGGAATCATCTAGCAAAAACAACACTCGTGCTGGCCGGCGAGCAGCGGAGGAGGTGTTGCAGGCCAACAACATCATCCAGTCTCTGAATGCCTTTTCCTCGGTGGCTCACATTGCCGGCATGGGCTTAAAGGTGATACCTGCGATTTCAGCTTTCACTAGCCTCCGATCGGTCAACTTATCTGGCAACTTCATAGGTAAAATTCGACAACTTAATCATGTAAATGAAGTAGGAATCACATGTTCTCAACCGTACATGTGGTATGTGACCTGTTTCACGTTGTTTTTAGTTCACATTTCGCCGGGATCTTTGCCCAAGAGCCTTCACATGCTCGACTTGTCAAGGAACAAGATTGTGACAATTGAAGGCCTCAGAGAACTGACGAGGCTCCGGGTTCTTAATCTCAGCTATAACAGAATCTCACGAATTGGTCATGGTAAGAACATCTGTACTTAATCCTTTTATTTTTGGATTTGCTTGTTTTATTCTAACGTGATCAACTCCTGCACAAAACAGCAAATTGAGGAAATAATTGTGCATGACAAATCTTATGGACTCCAGGAAACAGTCCTATCGAATCTAAAAGAAAATTCTTGCTGAATTAATTTGAGATGTCAGAGAGTTGAAATTCTTTTTTCAAAATTTTAGGTTGCTATTGGACATTAAATTTTGTCATCCGTGTTTTAGGAATATGATTCTTATCCGGTGTCATGTTTCTGGCTCGTTGTTGTGGTTAGAGATACCTGTCATAAATGGTCCATGATGATTGTCCATAAATTTTTTTGAGGTGGGTGAGTGCTATTTGTGGTTTTGCTTTATTGATATAGCCTTCAGTCACATCGATGTTGTGACCCATTATATTACTCTTGAACTTTATTGTAGAAAGTAATGATTTTATTAGAGACATGAGATCTTATATGGATACATTTACAGGACTGTCAAACTGCACTCTCATCAAAGAGCTGTATATTGCTGGGAACAAGATTAGCGGTGTGGAAGGGCTTCACAGGCTTCTGAAGCTCACGGTTCTCGACCTGAGCTTCAATAAGATCACCACAGCCAAGGCTTTGGGCCAGCTTGTCGCAAACTACAACTCTCTGTTGGCCCTCAACTTGCTCGGGAACCCAATCCAGAGTAACATTGGAGATGACCAGCTCCGCAAGGCAGTGTGTAGCCTGCTGCCACATCTAGCTTATCTGAACAAGCAGCCTATCAAGCCACTGAGGGCAAGAGAGGTGGCAACTGACAGCGTCGCCAAGGCTGCTCTTGGGAACAATGGCTGGGGTTCTCGGAGGAGGGCGACCAGGCGAGTCGGCCACGGCTCAAGCAGCTCGGGCAAGGGCATGACCGGGGAGGGAAGCAGCCACAGGGGTGCAGGTAGCAGTGGCGGGAACAAGAGCGGCAAGCATAGATCGAAGAGCCGCCACCATCACCACTCCATTTCTACCAGGAAATAAACGCATAGAGATTTTGGGGGGATTTTATATGCATCAGGGTTTGTTCCGTTTGGAATAAGTTGAATTATTTAATGGGGTTTATGCTGAATTATTCGAATGGACTTGTGGATTTTGAGTTGGACGTTAATGTGAAGGGATAAAACTGACATGTTTGCTGGGTTTTGGTTATTCGTTTCTTTTTAGTGTTGATTGATAGGTTGGTCCCATCAAGAT